ATGGTGATGATGATGGTAGTGGCTGTGGTGGTGATGATAGTGGTGGGTAATGATGATGGTGATGCTATGCTATGGTTTTTTTCCAACCATCCTGTGGTGTTGGGTCCTCGTTTTGAAGAGACGGTCCCCGCATCCCTCCTCCTCCTCTCCTCTTCCTCCTCCTCCTCCTCCTCCTCCTCCTCCTCCTCCTCCTCCTCCTCCTCCTCCTCCTCCTCCTCCTCCTCCTCCTCCTCCTCCCTCTCCCTCCTCCCCCTCCTCCCTCCTCCCTGCGTTTCACCCACCCAGTGCATCGTTTCGTGGCCCCATCGGGGGTCCACCGAAGGTCCCAATGGCACCGCCCGCATGCGTTAGCCACCACCCAGCACAGCCCTTGCCCCCTGCGTTTCGCCCACCCAGTACAGCGTTTCGTGGCCCCATAAAGGGGGCTCCACTGAAGGTCACAGTGGCGCCGCCCGCATGCGTCAGCCGCCACCTAGCACAGCCCTTGCTCCCTGCGTTTCACCCACCCAGTACAGCGTTTCGTGGCCCCATAGGGAGCTCCGCCGAAGGTCCCAGTTGGACCGCCCGCATGCGTCAACCACCACCCAGCACAGCCCTTGCTCCCTGCGTTTCGCCCACCCAGTACAGCGTTGCGTGGCCCCATAGGGGGCTCCACCGGAGGTCCCCGTAGCATTTCCCGCATGCGTCAGCACCACCCAGCACAGCCCTTGCCCCCTGCGGTTCGCCCACCCAGTACAGCGTTTCGTGGCCCCATAGGGAGCTCCACCGAAGGTCCCAGTAGCACTGCCCGCATGCGTCAGCCACCACCCAGCACAGCCCTTGCTCCCTGCGTTTCACCCACCCAGTACAACGTTTCGTGGCCCCATAGGGAGCTCCACCGAAGGTCCCAGTGGGACCGCCCGCATGCGTCAGCCACCACCCAGCACAGCCCTTACTCCCTGCGTTTCGCCTACCCAGTACAACGTTTCGTGGCCCCATAGGGAGCTCCACCGAAGGTCCCAGTAGCACTGCCCGCGTGCGTCAGCCACCACCCAGCACAGCCCTTGCCCCCTGCGGTTCGCCCACCCAATACAGCGTTTCGTGGCCCCATAGGGAGCTGCACCGAATGCCCTTGTGGGGCCGCCCGCATGCGTCAACTACCACCCAGCACAGCCCTTGCTCCCTGCGTTTCACCCACCCATTACAGCGTTGCGTGGCCCCATAGGGGGCTCCACCGAGGGTCCCAGTTGGACCGCCCGCATGCGTCAGCCACCATCCAGCACAGCCCTTGCTCCCTGCGTTTCACCCACCCAGTACAGCGTTGCGTGGCCCCATAGGGAGCCCCACCGAAGGTCCCAGTGGGACCACCCGCATGCGTCAGCCACCATCCAGCAAAGCCCTTGCTCCTTGCGTTTCACCCACCCAGTACAGCGTTTGGTGGTCCCATAAGGAGCTCCACCGAAGGTCCAAGTTGGCACCGCCCGCATGCGTCAACCACCACCCAGCACAGCCCTTGCTCCCTGCATTTCACCCACCCAGTACAGCGTTTCGTGGTCCCATAGGGAGCTCCACCGAAGGTCCCATTGGGACCGCCCGCGTGCGTCAGCCACCACCCATCACAGCCTTTGTCCCTTGCATTTCACCCACCCAGTAGGGGTTTCACCGAAGGTCCCATGTGGACCGTCCGCATGCGTTAGCTATCACCCAGTACAGCGTTTCGTGGCCCCCTCGGGAACTCCGCCGAAGGTCCCTGTGGGACCGCCCGCATGTGTCAGCCACCACCGAGTACAGCGTTTCGTGGCCCCATAGGGAACTCCACCGATAGTCCCAATGGGACCGCCCGAATGCGTCAGCCACCATCCAGTACAGCGTTTGGTGGCCCCATAAGGAGCTCCAAATAAAGACCCCATTTGCATCGCCCGCGTACGACGTCCACCATCCAGTACTCCATTTCGTGGTTCCATTGATTGGGACTTCCACCAAGCCCCAATGGCACCGCCCGCATGCGCCCCCCCCACCCGGTAAAGCGTTTCGTGGCCTTGTAGGGAGCTCCAGTGGTCCGCCCGCATGCGACCCCCCACCCGGTAGAGCGTTTCGTGGGCCCATAGGGAGCTCTACCGAAGGCCCCAGTGGCAACGCCCGCATGCGTCCCCCCTCCCAGTACAGCGTTTCGTGGCCCCATGGGGGGCCCCACCGAAGCCCCCACTGGCACGCATGCGTCGGCCACTACCCAGTACAGCGCTTCGTGGCCCCGTAGGGAGCTCCACAGAAAGACCCCATTTGCACAGCCCGCGTGCGTCTCCCCCAACCAGTACAGCGTTTCGTGGCCCCGTAGGGAGTTCCAGCGAAGGGCACCGCCAGCCTGCGTCCGCCACGCCCAGTAAAGCGTCTCGTGGCCCATAGGGAGCCCCACGGAATGCCCCAGTGGCACCGCCCGCATGCGTCTCCCCCACCCATTACAGCACGTCCCTCACGTGTTTCGTGGCCCTATAGGAAGCCCCATTGCAAACGGCACGCACAACGCGTTACTCACAACTACATGTGGTTGGGTCCTTCGCCAGGATCGTTTAAAATCTTGCTGCTGTATTTCATATCTATGATTTTGATCATCATTTCTCTTATTGTTATTGTTATTGTTATTGTTATTGTTGTTGTTATTGTTGTTGTTATTGTTTTTGTTATTGTTATTGCGAACATTTGTTGTTTATACTATTGTTTACCATCATCCGTATCATTATTCCATTTTTCTTTTTTATATGTACACCAGAAACCATTAATTACATATTTCTATCCGTAAGGGCTTGGCCCCCTGCCGCCGGCCCCTTTTTTCGGATAATGGGCAAATGCAATAGCGAAATCATGAGGCCTTGGCGCCGCCGTGAAGCAGCGTCGGGACTTCACGCGAAGACGATGAGTAATCGGCAAGACAAGTTGAGATTCTGAAGATATTGTTGAATTCGGTCTTGTATTTTGAGGGTTTATGGCTTCGGATACGCGAGTAGCGCGTAATTTACGACGGTTCATAGCTTCGGGCTCGCAAATATAAAGTAATTTTACTCAGTTTATGGCTTCGGAGACGCAGATATGCATACTTTGCGAGGGTACGTGGCTTCGGACACGCGATTATTGCATACTTTAGGAGGGTTTATGGCTTCGGGGTTGCAAATACTGCGTCGTTTGCATCGGTTTATGGCTTCGGGGATGCGAATATTGCGTAATTGACGGCGGTCTATGGCTTCGGGGACGCGAATATTGTGTGAGTTACGAGCGTTTGCGGCCTCGGGGACGCAACTATTGCGTAATTTAGAAGGGTTTATGGTTTCGGGGTCACGAATATGGTAGGTATATTTTGTGATGGTTCATGGCTTCGGGGACGCGAAGATAGCGTTCTTTACGAAGTTTTATGGCCTTGGGGACGCGATTATTGTATACTTTACGAGGATTTATGGTCTCGGGGCGCGACTTTCAGGTATTTTTACGTGCCCCACGCCCCTCCCAGGAATTCAGGCAACGCGATTCGGGCGTGATAACTAAGTTCCTTCTCGGCTCCCCCCCCTCGCGCGGTCTATCAACAAGGACCAGTAAGCAGCAAGAAGCATAATTGTAGCAGTGGAAATTGGAAACTGGAACTGGTGCAGGGAACAGCAAGCCTTGGTCCTACAGCCTGGTGGCCACACAAGGGAGCTGGCGTTTTCGTATGGAGAGTACTAAGATCAGTACTTAGAAGTGGATGATGATGACGATGATGATGATGAAGAAGAAAATTATGATGATCATGAGGATGATGATGATGCTGATGATGATGATGGTGATGATGATGATGAGTGAGGTGGTGGTGGTGGTGGTGGTGGTGGTGGTGATGATGATCAAAGTTGCGGTGGTGGTGGTGGTGATGATGGTGATGATGATGGTGATGATCACGACATGGTGACGACGACTACGATGATGATGACGATAATGATGATGCTGACGATGATGATACTGATGATGATGATGACGATGATGACGATGATGATGCTGATGACGATGATGCTGATGACGATGATGATGACGACGATGATGATGGTGAACATGATGATGGTGACGATGATGATGATGATGATGCTGATGTTGATTATGATGATGAAGATGATGATGATGATGCTGATGATGATGATGCTGATGATGATGATGATGATGATGATGCTGCTGATGATGATGATGATCATGATGATGCTACTGATGATGATGATGATGATGATGATGGTGATGACGATGACGATGATTGATGATGCTGATTATGATGACGATTGATGATGCTGCTGCTGAATGATGATGATGATGATGCTGATGCTGATGATGATGAATGCTGATGCTGATCGCTCCCCCCTCCTTGATGATGATGATGATTTCTGATATGATGATGATGATGATGATGATTATGATGCTGATGCTGATGCTGATGCTGATGCTGCTGCCTGTCTGATGATGATGAAATGATGATGATGATGCTGATGATGATATGATGACGATGATGATGATGATGATGATGATGATGATGATGATGTGATGATGATGATATGATGGTGATGATGAGATGATCGATGAGGAGGATGATTATGATGATGATGATGACGAATGATGATGATGATTATGATGATGAATGATGTGATGATGATGATGATGATGATGATGATGATGATGCTGATGATGATCTTATGATGATGATGATGATGATGATGATGATTATGATGATGATGATGATGATGATGATGATGGTGGTGGTGGTGGTGGTGATGATGATGATGATGATGAATGTGATGATGATGATGATGATGATGATGATGATGATGATGATGATGATGATGATGATGATGATGATGATGATGATGATGATGATGATGATGATGATGATGATGATGGTGATGATGGTGATGATGATGGTGATCAGCATGAACAAGCAGGAGCGAGCCAGCGGGGCGAGGCGGGGGGCCGACGCGCGGCAGCGCAGTGGCCGCGTTGGCAGCGGCGCCCCGCCGCAGCCCGCCCGGCTTTCCTTGCCCGCCTCGCGTTCGCGCGGGCGAGCAGGGCCCGGGCTGCTGGAGCCCAGGTGGCCGGCCCGCCGCGGCCGCGCTGCCCAACCCCCAGGGCGCCCCGCGGGCG